ATGATAATATAACATTAATATCTCAAGGCCGTCGCCCTTTTTTTTTTTTTTTTTTTTTTTTAACCTTTCAAACAAGGATCAGTACTTGTTTGATCGGGGGATAGAGCCGTACAAACCTTCTACCCACTCCAGGATCCAAGGGAGTCATGTGAAGAGTATAATCTGCTCAGGCTAAGCAGATAGTTACCAGATACCTAGAGTTTTATTATGACCCACACCAGTGTTGCGAACCCCAACGCTCGGCGGCCCTTGACTGGTCGGCTGCCGACCAGCCGGCCGGTCACCTGCTCGGTACCTGCCTGCCGGGGATCATCGGCACCCCGCGCCGCAAAAAAAAAAAGAAAAGAGAAAAGAAGAATCGGTTCAGATTCTTCAGAACCCCTAAGAATCCCAATGTGGAAAAGAGAGAGACAAAGAGAGACAGAGAGAGAGCGAGGGAGAGAGAGAGAGAGCGACTGAGAGAGACACAAGAGAGAGAGAGAGAGAGAGAGAGAGCAAAGAAATAGGCCTTTGACATTTATCAGAGAACCCTTGCAGGTAATCTGAGAGGCCCCTGCTAAAAATTAGCAAGGGCCTACTAGCCGAGAAAGAGGCAGCTCTCAAACACATTGCAAGGCAGCAGCACGCCAACTATATATGGTGTAGATTCACATCAAGGTCAGCACGCCAACTATATCCGGGCAGTAGCAGGCCAACTCACCACGCGATTTTCAGGGCTTCCCTTCATTACTCACCAAATGTGCAAACCTAGAATGAATCTTCTGCTAGAACATGGAATCATACACCACCATATGTTTTGTCTTTTGTGCAAGTGGTGACAAGTGGAGCCAGGCCCTTAGGGCCACTGCTCGTAGGAAAAGGAAAACAAAAGAAAGAGAGCTACGGTAGCAAGTAGTTGTAGCCGATAACCGCTGGAACACAGACCTGATATCGATCCAGAAGATATATTGCTGGGCTGCTCCTCTCTCGTCCGGAATTCGACGAATGTCTCTTAAGATATGAGAGCCCTGCAGATGCTCTGCTGGGGGCCCTTCAGAAAAAAAACAAACTAAATTCAACGAGGAATTCGTGGCCCTATTTTTTTTTTTTCTGTGCCCTTAGAATTGTAGAAGGGACGGCACGTTTGGCTACCTCAGCCAGCACCCTCATCACCCCCCCCAGTACCCCTTATAACTCCCCCATACCCCCCTGGTAACCCCCCCCCGGCCTCCCACTACTGTCCCCCACATCCCTAAAAGTTTCTCAGCAGATTTGGGCTCTACTCAGTAAGCGCAGAACAGCCCCCAACTCAGATTTGAAAAAAAATCAGTGGATGGCTGTTTTCTGACTGGTCAGCAGACTGCCGACCGGTCGGCTGCAAAATGGTCGGTGGTCGGGGTCGGCGGTCGGCAGGCATGCAACCCTGTCCCACACACCCCATACCCCAATGTCCCCTTCACCCCCCACCCAACCAAAAGCAAAGCTGATCATGCATCTGCCTATCGCCTCCACCGGAGTCCCTGACTACAGCTCACCCACCCGTTTGTGCAAACCTTCCGTCTCATGCCATTGCTCTATTTTCCCAACTTGCCCGCACCTGCCCACCAGTTTCTCTTCTCTCATCTTCTTCTCAACCCACCCAATCTACTATGTATCAAGCCCCAAAGGGCTGGTCAAACAACTGGTGATAGGTGTCTTCCGTTCATTCATTCACATACGCACCTCCAATGACACACAACCGCTCAAGTGAAGGACACCCTCTGGTGAGACACCAGGACATCCCGCAAGGGACAGCACAACAAGCAACTTCAAGCCATTGCCCAAGGCACTCCTGCTCCAAAGAGAAAACCAAGATGCGTTCACAAGCACAAACATGTGAATCACAACATGAAAACAAAACGGGGAAAAACGAAAATTAGAGAGTACGACGTGCGTGTAAATTCCTAAGGCCACAAAAAGTGCAACGAAATACGACAGAACTGCACCAGGAATTACTTCATCGGCAAGACACAGGCTGCAGTGTATGTCCTAAGAGCACACTCACACTTGCACATTCTCAACTGAATTTGGCCTTCACTGCCATCACATACTTCCAAGAATGACCAAAGCGCCATTTTATCCAGTACAGCGCGTACCGAACCTGCATCATGAGTATTGAATATAGCCCTGCGGCGCGACACAGTCATAATCCCCAAGCACTGGAATTGCAGGAACGTAGCAATGAGACCAATGAACAAGCTGAGAAGGAACACAAAAGCACCATATACCAGCATGAATATGCGAACTCCACTGCACTGATCAGGAAGATGCTAACTTCGCCCCCAAGTAAATGACAAAGATTTGCTGTTCACAAGGATGTCATGCTCTTGACATGCTTATGTCAGAGACTGGACAGGAAAGAAACCCAAGCCTGGACTTCAGGCCGGTACCTCTTCATGCAACGCACCCGTCGGCCATGCAGGGCCCTCTACCTTTCATGGCCTCTGCTAATGTCCTGTGACTCAGTCCAAACTTTGACTTTTTGTTTCATTTTGACCCAAAAATGTGCTTCCAATTGGTTAAAAAACCTCCAATCCATTTATGATTTGAGTTCACCCTTTCTCAGTAGAACTACGACACTGTGAGCGTGCTCATGCTTGCAGAGGTAATGTCTGTCTGCACATGCACGAAGGATTCTCACATCCTATTTCGTGTGTGTAATCCTTGCACAGGGGCCACGGTCATCATCTGTTTATCACTCCAATTTTGTTCTTTTTCAACGGATGTACCAAAGGACTAATTTTGCACAAAAAAAATGTGACTGCAATGCTCTACAAAGGACAGACAGCGGAGGGCAATAGCTAAAGACACGGTGAAATGGAACATTGAAAGCTCCAAGGCTCTGTGTTGCAGAGAGAACACTATGGAGGGATCCCCATGCCTACGAAGGAGATTCTAGGTTGAGGGAGGCCATGACGGCTGTGGCTTCTTCATCTTCTTCGTGCATGAGAACCAGCCAACATGATGGAGGTTACTGGTGTAATTCACAGGCAGCTATGGTGGACGATTGGTGCACAGCCATGGGGATCCATAGAGGTCAAAGGAAGACCTGATCTTCATCCTCAATGGCACTGAGCTACTACTAGTTCGAGGGAGGCCATGGCGGCTGTGGTTTCCTCATCTCCTTTGTGGATGAGAGCCAGCCGACAAGATGAGCTTAGTGGTGTAATTCACGGGCAGCTATGGTGCACCATTGGTGCACCACCATTGGAAGCCATAGAGGTCGAAGGAAAACCTGATCTTCATCCTCACGTATGGGCCTGACCTATTACAATGGGGAGGAGGGGTTATCTTGTGTTGTCATCCGCACGTTAGAGAACAAGGCATCCCAGGGTTGTGGACGAGAGAGGTGAGAGACGACCGACAGTGAGCGAGAGAGAAGCATCCTAGTAGCGTGCATCTCGAGCGCAGTTGACCAGGCATTAATTCATTGTTCGTTCATAAACGGATCATGCAAGGAAGACGTGGAGGTCACGCAGGAAAGTGCTAATCATGGTGGCGAAATGCAGAAGTTGATTATTTGGGGTATCGTGTCACACTTCTCTCTTGTTACTCGTTCTTTTTTCTTCTCCTTCCTCCTCTTCTTCTTATCTCAATTATCTCTTCCTATCCACTCTTTCTTACATCATTGTTCGCTTGTTTGGCGCAAAATGCTTACTGAACCAGGATCATAGGGTACGCACAAACCCACACACCCAGCACCAACCTCTCTCTCTCTCTCTCTCTCTCTCTCTCTCTCTCTCTCTCTCTCTCTCTCTCTCTCCCTCCACACACACATTGTTGAAACATCATTGCTACACAGGCAATGGTGTGGGGATGAAGATATCCTCGGACTCCTCACACCTCTCAAGCACTAAAGTTTTCCCCAACATCGCACTTTTCCATCAGAAAATAACCGTTCTTGCCTACGTTGACACGTACCCCTGTTCAGGGGCCCATATTCACCACCCCACCCATGTACCCACGCAACGCTAATCAGCACTCACAATGTAGAGGTTGCAACCCGAAGGCACAGTCCTAGGTCAAGCTCTCTTAGATTGCGTAGTCGCCCGAGCTCACCAAATGCCAGCCCGCTAACATAGTGTCTTGCTCCGAAAAGACGAAGCCGCTCAAGTGATCTGCAATTAATGGCCACTTCCCTTACCTGCAAACAAGTGATTTCACAGTGGTAAGCATCACACAAACCGTTCCCTTGTCAATCACAAGTGCATTTGCAGGATTCCTGCTTTGTATGGTTTGCTGGCAAAGAAGAAAAAGGGAAGATGCTCTGTACTCCATGAAAACAAATAGGAAGCAGAGTGGAAACACCAAAGCTGAAATAGAGAGTAGTTCTCCTTGTTTGTACAAATGAGCAGTGTAACGAACCTGCAAGTTTCAGTTACGACAAATCCATACACCATGCCCATACATGAAGCTCCACTAATCCAGGTCTCTGCATAACCAGTGACAGGAGAGAACATGGAGGAACACATAGAAGGAGGCTCAGACACTCAAGACTACTTAAGACATGAATCAAGATAAATTTCCATCCCTCCTCCATGTCAACATCTCCAGCTCCCTTTCACATTCCAGTTATAAGAGAACTGATCCAAGAGTCATTTACCTAGCATCTGCCATTGAAAACATCACCATGTGCCCTGAAGTCTCGCTGCTCAATGTTGGCGCCTTCAGACCCAACCAATAGCGGGGCCCAACAAGATTGGATGTCTCCCATCGACCACTGTCTTCCAAGGCCTGGAAAGACCAAGCGCAAAGTAGCTCCAGGACAATGCCCTCTCCCCCAAGTCCGGCACGCGAGTTTTAGTGCCAAACTTTCGTCTTGCTCTTCTTCTCCTTCTCAAGTGCCAATTGATCCTTAGTGAAGCCGTAGCTCAACTGCCCTTGAGTAATGGCCATGAAAAGGCGAACCAGCATAGTTAGGGAGTACTTCCTCCCAAAATTTTGGGGAATGAGCATGCCCTAAACATTGCACTGAACTGAGAGCTTCCGCCTATGATTCCCCTGGATGTAGTGTCATGGCCTGGCAGCAAATATCTAATTCCCTGCGCCCTTACTGCTATCTTATTTTTCTGCGTGAAAAAGCCTCCGACGAAATTGACTTGTATTTCCTACACAACTGCATGGAAAAGATGTGTGTGCATCACCCCCCTCCCCCTTTTTTTTGGTCCATAATGGAGGCCATTGCGTCCTTACAAAAAAGATCCATCAATTGACTGGCTGGCAACCCTGCATAGCAATTCTCTTCCTAACGTTTTTCTCCATACTGCCGTGATGTTTGCCGCAATCTGATTCTTGATCTGAGCCTCAGATTCATCCTCTAAAGGCTCGGTCAGGGCAATGAAAGCTTTCAGACTCACATCCAAGATGACAGAGCACTGGCCCAAGACAGACGGCTGGCGGCTGGCTAATGAAATCCCACCTCAACCAGAGGGCTCACAGCTTGCCTCTCCTGGCCCGCAGGGGAACAGGTGCTTTGCTATCTAGGCATCATGACGGACAAGGCCAGAATTTGATCGCTAAATCAACCACACGCCTGGCTTCTTGCGAGAACATGCAGGCCTCTCTAGTGGGGTAGTGCTGTGATCATCAACACCTCAGTTTTCTCCACCCTCAAAAAACCTGAAAGCTTTGAAGGCTTGCATGAGATGTTTCCTGTTCACAGGCGACCCTAACAAGCAGACCTGCATGAATATGGTTGCATGGCCTTGCATCGTGAGGGAACCTCAAGGACAAGTTTGAAAATCGAATCGAAGGAACTACAGCAGGCCGGGCCATTCCCCTGCCTAGTTGGCGGCATGAGCAATTCAAATGTCGACCCACAAGAGACTGGCACGTTAGGAGAGGGGGAAATGGGGAAGAGTGGGAGAGCAAGGGGAATGGCATACCGAGGCTGAGGTTCGAGAGGAGTGGAAAAGAGTAAGGAGGTTGGATCTTCCATGTTGATCATGCGAAGCACTTCTTCACTATTTTCATCCGGGAAGGTTTTTCGTTTTGGTGGGGGGGGGAACCTTTGGGTCAAAATTAGGGCTGTGCTCAACCCAAAATACTGTAGCAATGATATGACATAACAGCACACTCGGAACTGAAACGGTATTCACTAGTTCGCAGTAGCTGATGCAGCTTTCAGGGTTCGATCCCTAGTCCCTAGCTTACCTGTGTACAGTACCTGTGTCGACCC